TGAAAATTCCAAAGCCAACTGAGATACTTTAAGTCCCCCATCCTGCCATGGAAAGCAACTACAGAACAATGCTGGGCTTCAGTAACTGGAATTATCCATTTCTTGAACAGACCATAGGCTTTATTAGTTTAGAGCTGACTTGAAAGACATATGTAAGAAGGAAGTGATGGAGCCAGCCTGTTTTCTGCCAAAAGTGTAAAAGGACAAGTCAGCAGACTGCAAGTACCTGGGGAAAATTTCCACCTGTGGTTTAAGGCTACTGAGTTTATTCCCTAGAAGATCTATATAATCAGCAGGGGAGGGCTAGCTGCAGGGATAACTTCTAAGGAGTCTCCTGGAGAAAAGAAAACTAATAGAATTATTATGGTCATCCATATGTCAGGCCGTGTTGATGAATGCTTCACATGCATTAGGTGTTTGACTCTGTGGATAGTTTGTACGTGTATTCTCATTTTAAATCAGAAAGGCCACAGATCTTTTCAATGCTTACATAACAGTTAAAAATTAGGATTTGAATTTAGGCGCCCAAGCAGGACAGCCCAATATTGAAAACTATATGAAATCTCAAGATGCCCTCTAACCCTTTGATTGAATGATGTGTCTTATAAATATGCAAATTAATGACTGTCTCAGGTTGGAGACTGTTACTCAGGGTTACAGTGCTCGCTTAGCACCTGCAAGACCCTTGTACTAACCCCAAAATATTCTGTCTGTTTTTGTCTAACAATAATTCATTTTATCTAATTCCTCAAAACTGGATAGAGATTTTCACAGTGATGAGGCTGATAAGTGTGGATTTCAAAGGGAATTAGTTAAGGGACTTTTCAGACTTTTCCTGAAGAGATGAGTAGAAATTTGAATGCTGTAAATTTCCCAACCCCATTGATCGAACTCAAAAGATCTGCAAAATGTAAAAAGAGTTTTGGCTAACATTTAAAAGCCTGATATTCCTCCTGTAGCCACAAGGAGGACAAGGGAATGATGATGTTTAGAAGGAGGCTGCCTTAAAGAAACAGACAGAGGAGATCAGGCATGCTCAGTGTGGTATGGCCATAGACAAAACATATTCTATTCATGTATCACATTCTCAACAATAAAAGGTATATTCTCGATAATAAAAGTTAAAACATAGCAGAGCAACCTAAGTATTCTCTGTGCTACATACTTATATGAAGGGCTACTGTCCTTTTCATTTAAATCAAATCCATGTAGGAATGATATTTAAAAGAAAAATCTTTCTCCATTATACTCCCAAAAGGGAAACATATCAAAATTGGCTATTTTTTTTGGATGGCTTTCTTAAATAAATGAACAGAAGAATGAATTATGTCGCTATAAATAAATATCCTGACATATAATAAAGCAATGTTCGGCTGCTTTATGGTATCCCTAGAAAAACCCTTGGATATATTTATAGCCGTGTTAACAGTCACCTGTATTTCTTCAGGACATTTATTTCACTATACATTATGAGAGTTTAGTTGGGGGAGGGTGGTATTTGTGTTCTTGTCCTCCCTAACTACCTATTGGAGATATGTAGGGACAGCAAGAAAGGATTTCTACTTTTTGTGATAGGGTCTTCTCCTAATGGATTGTGTCCCACAGGAACAGTCTGTGCCTATGCTTGCTGGTCTTTCTAAGTCTGCAGTCACGTTAGATGTGCCTGCAGTGGCGAACTTGACAAGTATCCCCTGCTGACAGCGAAGTGGCACGTCAGAGTCTACCCAAGTGAGAAGAGGCATGTGCAGAGATAAAACGCACCATGCAAGACTGTGGGCAAGGCAATGTCACATTAAGTTCCTGACACCTGACACATTTAAATACAAGTAGAAGCTTATTTTAGAAGTCAACAGATTCCTTATGCTGCTTGTAAGCTGGGATGATGAAGAAAGCAAGGTAAAGAGTTAAGAGCAAAGATTTCCTTCCCTTCCATCTGGGTTATCTCCTAAGGAGAGAAGAGAGGGGACATTTAAAAAGCCAGCAGAGGAAGTCTATGATGACAAGCTCTGGAATCTAATATACCAAAGAAGCCCAGCTATCACCTCAGTGGATCCAGCTACAATCAGGGGTTGAATACTCCATTCCATTCAGAAATGCAAGATTCTACAGAGTTCCATCTGGGTTTCATTGGGGGAGGGATTTGCACAGGAGGCTAAAATAGATCATTCTTTTGAAGTTATTCAGTTTTGAGTCTGTGGTGAGCATAAAATCTCTGATTTTTCTCCTTTTCTATCTTAAAAACTTGGACTCCGCTCTCTGTTTGACATGCCTGGGATCCCAAGTAAAGGGGCCCACTAGGGGGCAGAATGCAGGAGGAAAAATGAGATCTGTGATGGGCAGTGATGAGTATTTTTCTGGGATTCTAGTTGTATGGGGGTATTTAGAACATACCGGCATATCTCCAGAGAAAAAATTCTCAATACATATCAGCCTACTATAAATTGCAATAGACTGCAAAGAATGGGAGGTAGAAAAGACATTTACATAAGTGTGTGTTGACTAGGGAGGGATGGGAGACTTATGAACAAATTAATAGGGTATTAAATTGGAGATGGATATGTAGTTTATCAGAAAAACTGTAGCTTAGCTCTTTGGAGTAGGATAAGCAACGGAAAGCAACCTTGGATTTCTTATCTAAAATCTCCCCACTCAACAACACCCATAAATGGAATCTCACTCCCTGAAATCCACAACTGCTTCTTCTGACATTTCGTGAGTAGTAAATAAATAAGTTATAAGAACGAGACATAGAATGAATAGTTCCAGCTATAACACACCAGCAGTGTTTGCAGATTCCATTTTGCATCAAGGATTTATTTTCCCTTTATAGCCTGGCAGACAATTAATTGGAATGTCCATCTAGGCTTCCCTTGCTACCTTGGGATGAAGTTAAAACAATCTTCAGTATCCAGTGCCAGTTTGGAAAAGAAGGAGATGGCAAGATAGATGAATGTTCTGCATATCAAGTCCAGAAGGCTTGTCTTTTGGCAATCAATGTCACTAAAGTCAGATAAATGGGTCAGTGAAACTCACAGTATGAGAGCTAAAATACTCTACGACTTGGTTGGCAATTGGCCCACTGAGTTCATTTATTCAGCAAACACTTACTGGGATGCTGCTACTGGCTACCCATGTGCTGTGTGCGGAGGATGCAGTGGAGAGCAGGAAAGAGGTTCTGCAGTCAGACATCAGGACAAAGAGCTTACCATTTCTTCTTTCAAGGATACAGATCATGAACAGAAGAATCAACTCCTGAAAACCAACAATGCTGCAAGGAAACAAATCAACAGAGTAGAATGACCACCACAGGTGGCAGAGTCTATGGTGGGAGACAGAAAGACCCTCTGAGGAAATGGCATGGCAAATGCAGCTGAGAAAGCTGAGGAAAGGTTCCCCATAAAAAGGCCCCATAAAGCCCTAACAGGCTTGGGTTGGTAAATATTCTCATTCGACCAGAGTAAAGGTCTCGGGGATTCAAGGGAAGTGACTCAGGGACATCTAACTGATGGAGCTGGCCAATACATCAGAAGCCTGATCAACTTGGGACAGAGGGTGAATTCAAAGTGCAATAGGAATCTGCTGGGGGAACTAAATCAAGAAGCAGCTCATAAGAACAGGAATTATCATGAACTCTAGGGAATAGTGCTTAAGTTTTTGTTTTTGCTTTTTTCTTGACTTTGCCAGTACAAAGACCCTAAAAGTATACTTAACCTTCGGGAGTCTTCAGCTTCTTTTTCTAGGGAACAGGGAGTACTGGTACTAACGGCCAGATGTACTCTATATTTTCTCCTTTAAACCTCCTGAGGAGGGGGGTCATCAGCCACACTTTATAGAGGAGATTTGAGCACCCTGTATTCCATACCCACCTTTGCTTGTGGTATTCCTTAGTACAAGTTGCTGGTTAATACATTGTATTTGGTTGCCTCTACCCATGCACGAGAAGACCTTGTCAGTCGGCCATTTCCTGGGCTCACCCTAGAGCTGTGAGCCCAGGGCACTTGTGGGCATGGGCAGGCAGATCTTTAGGAAAGCCTGATTTTTTTAAAGCAGAATCTCAAGTCACTAGCACAAATTCAGTTGGTGTTGGAGCCTGTGGGTTGGATATCATAATTTATTGAAGGATACTTCCCTAATAACTCCCTGGGATATCCCAAGGATAAAAAAAACACTCTTAGTTTCTGTTCTTTATTCTCATTTGGGAGTTTGCAATGAGCATAAACATATTAGAGGTGCTACAGTAAGCATCTTTGTTTTAAAATAAAGAAAAAGCATACCTATATTTTTATCTGTAGCGTGTGTGTCTGTGTCTGCATCTACCTCCCCCAGAATCAAGATGCGTGAGCAGGGCAGAGTCATTGCTAGCAGGAGTCAGATAGAAATGACGGGCCTGAGAAGGGTACTCCTCCTGCGCACTGTGCTCCCACTCAGTGGAGGTAGTGGAAATAGTGGAGAGACAATGTCATTGTTTGCTCAAAGGACTGCGGGCCAGCCCCTCCCGGAGTCACAGAAGGCCAGTAGAGAAGCTGCACGCCCCATCCACTTCTGTACTTCCCCTTTCCAAACACTTCCCTCTGATCCCCTGCCACAGCAACTCCCCAGCCCTGCTTTTGTGCCCTACCCCAAAGATTTAAGTAGTAGCTTCTGGTGCCCAGCACCAGGGAGTATACACCAGCCTGTAATAGCCTCTTCTGAACAAGTCAGGGACAGGCTACTCCTTCCTTTGCACACCTACTTTACTGTCTTTTGACTTGAAGATGCTAGCCTGAATTCCAAGAGTGTTCTGTCTAAGGTGCTTGGAAGCCACCTGGGAGGGCAAACTGGCAGCCACCAACCACTTCACCCTGCATGGGACCACCCACCCCACAACCTTTACTTCCACACGGTTCTATCACCTATCCATTGGCCCAGCAGCGGTGTCCTGGGTCTCCTATTCCATTTCAGCAGAGACACATGCTGGAGAGTGGCTGCCCCAGGCACAGCAAGAAAAGCGGGGCGCCTACCTCAGGCAGTCAGTGTGCCTGCAGACTTCGGGTTTATTTTGATTTGGGGATACTTGGGCTGTGCTGTTGCCTCGATCTTCCTTCCCAAACCTTCACAGCACCTTGCTCGCCGAATTCGGTTTTAATGATCTTGGGAGAGAAGCCTGAAGGAGGATCCAGGCTGGCGGAGCAGGGGAGGCCTGTGGGTCTCCGAGCGTGCACGCACAGCGGGGTGGGACCCAGGGAGACTGCCGGGAGAGAGCACAGGCTCCTGAGCGCCGGTGCGTAAGAGCAAGGAGCTAGCCAGCTAGCGTACACTTGAATGGGGAGGGCCAGGATGCCGGGCGGCTCCACCTCTCCCTCCTCCCTAGCCAGCCAGTCCCTCGGCAGAGCACACGGGCTGCACTGATTTGCTCTCCGGAGTGCGCTATTTGCATATGACTTGCCCATTTGTGAATTTGGCTCCCCAACTCCTTGCTTCACTTCACCTGTGCCTCCCCAGTTGTGCGCACTTTGCCCGGCGCCCGCGCCTCCTGGCTACCTCCGCTGCCTGCGGGCTGCCTCCTCTAGAGCTCTCCCTGATTGAGCCCACCCGGCTCCTCTCCATCTCCCTGCCACGTTGGTTTGGTTGGCTAGCTCAGTGCTGTTTCTTTTCCTCTGGTCCTTCTTGATCTCTTTCTCCGCTTGCTGCTGACTGCTTTTTCAAACCATTGGGAACGCAGGACTCAGGCAGGCGGCTGCACCATGGAGCTCATCCAGGACACTCAGGGTTAACAGCCTCCGCGCCCTTCCACGGAGACTCCCCGGAGCAAGAAAACTCTCCCGCCTGCAACCCCCTTGTGCCTGGTAGTTCTGCATTGCATCGCTTGGAAGTCGAAACGAGAAAGGAAAAAAAAAATGTCCAAACTCCGTGGATGTTGGGATAAACTAGCCTGAACCTACTTGGGTCTATTCCTGCTTTGTCTTTTCCCTTCGTTTCCACCTTTCCCTGCTTGGCTTTCCAGAGTATGCAGCTAAAACATCGGACTTGCGGTACCTAGAGAGCAGGAAGAAGCCTCACTGGGTCCTTCCCTGAAATGTGCGACAAGCCTGGGCTCTCCAGGAGGTTTGCTGTACCTGGGTCGACTCTTGCATCCTAAATTCCTCCTCCAGGGGAAAAAGGAAAGGCTTTGCCTCATCTTTTTAAGAATCTTCAGTTTATTTTTGTAGTTTCTTAAAAAAAAAAAAAACAGATTCATCATTGCCCCGCAAGCTCTTACTGCTTCCCCCATCCCCAAATTGGACAACTCTTCTTTCTGCTACGATGTGCCCCTGGGCATCATGAACTTCGCTATTGCTCACTGGCTGGGATTTAAACTGCCCATCTGTGGTGGTCCCGTGCGTTGACCATGCACCTGAGAATCCACTCAAGACGGAGCCCTCCTCGCCAGCCGGCCTGGACGCTTGGGATCTGGTCCCTCTTTTGGGGATGTATCGTCAGCTCTGTGTGGAGTTCTTCTAATGTAGCCTCCTCCTCTTCCTCCTCCTCTCCAGGATCTCACTCTCAGCACGAGCATCATTTCCACGGCAGCAAGCACCACTCTGTGCCTATTTCTATCTATCGCTCCCCTGTTTCCCTTCGAGGAGGGCACGGTGGGTCTCTCTACTCTTTATCTTTTACTGTGGCATTGCAAATCCTTAACCCAGTCGTCTTTCAGGTAGGGTCAAGGGTGCTAACAGCAGGGAAATCCAATTTAAAACGGTGAGAAGGCTGGAATGTGCATAAGGGGGAAAACCTGTCACTTTCTCCTACTGGCAAAGGCTGTTTGCTCTCGGCCACCCACTTTTCAATAAAAGGTTCTCCTCCCCTTGGTACCCTGGTTTGTGGCACGGCAAACACACTCTCCACCTTTTGCACCATCTACTTCTCCCACCCCGTGGTGGCAGGCAACTCAGTCAGACAAGTTCCAATGCTGCTGCACATTGAAAAGTCATTCATTCACCGTGCGTTCTCACCCTTCCTGTCTCTGGTCTTGTCTGGGGGCTAGTTGTGAAGACAGAGCAGGTAGCGCGTCCTATGGGGCAAGAGCCTGGAGTTGATAGAACTGCTATAAAGTTACCTGTGTGGCAAAGGTCTGGGGAGAACAAGAGTCAAAGAAGGCAGAAAATATAGTTAACAACCAGTGGGTGTTATCATTCATTTGGGAGTTTTATATTTTTTCTGTATGTCTGTTGGAGAGTAGTTATCCTCTAAACAGCATGGCTAATATTGCTAACTACAAGAGATGAAACAATATGTAAGCTTAAGCTAAGACCGTTTTTTTTAAATTACCCCTGTAAATTATAGCAACTTTGATCCACCATTTATGCCGATGATCTTTCAATTAAAGTCAGCATGAATGGATTGGTTCTCACAAGCCATGCATGATATCTTTTGCTTCAAACAACCCTCTTCGCGTCATACTTACTAAAGGAAAAGACCTGTGGTTCGTAAAATTGTACCCAGCCCTGAGCAGGTTCCCTCTAAAAAGGCTGATTCTGCAGCTAAGGCAGAAGCTCGCGGTAGTAAATTGTTCCAAGAAGTGTTTACTATGCACTCCACGGTGATGATGAGGGGAACGTGAAAGGGACGAAAGGGAAAAGCAGAGAGAATGCATGAGCACTCTTCCACCAAGCTGTGCTATGAACCTCTCTAGGGGCCCTTCCCTAGCTTGTATTTTGAGGCATGCAGACCCCATTAGAAAAGCAATTCTTCCACCACCTCCTAGCCAAGGGCTCCTGCTCCAAGCTGTCTGTTGTTTTAAGTGGAAACACATTCCAGCACATGCTGGCTTTTTCTCTCTGTTGAAACACATTCCAGCACATGCTGGCTTTTTCTCTCTGTTGAAATCACATGTGGTGGAATTGTTAAGTGGCTCAGAGAGTGTAAGGTTTGGGAGAAGGGGGTGGTGGGACTGAGAGAAAGCCCAGAAACCTTTCTTCTAACCTCCTTGCTGGTTTCCCTGCGACTTCTGTTTGGTCTGCTGTAGATTCTAAAACAAGACAGAACAGACAAGCAAAACCACAAAAGCCTAGACAAGAGCTATATACACATATACACATAAAAAGGAAATTTCATTAAAATGGAAACTTATCTCCTAAGAAAGAGACAGAGTAGGGTGGGGTTGAGATGAGGGGAGCCAGACAGACTATTACCAATAGCCATAATTAAACACAGAAATGCTGAGCGATAATTAGCTAAATTTTGCTAATTAGTCTAAATGATCACCAGGGAGATGAAGATTGTGCATTAGTTGGAGGTTAGAGGAGAGTGGGGTCTTGAGATACATACATACATACATACATACATGCATACATGCATATATATTGCTGTTGTAGTTGTTCAAGATATGAACAGTTAAAAACAGCTACTAGTAAGTGATGGAATTTACAGAACAGAGTGCATAAGGATCTCTAATTTCCACCCCCACATTCTCTATCTTATTCACCCCTCCCTCCCTTCCAATAGGACCAATTCTTATACAGGTTAAATTTTATTTTCTCTACCTTGCCTATGCAAAGATTGGTGCTTCAGTTTTCTCTAACCCCTTTCAGCTGGTTCTCATTCCAATTTCTCATTACTTGGCAACTGATAAGATTCAGGTTGATGGACAAGAAGAGAATAAAGAAATGGCCAGAGACCACTCACAAGCCTCTCATATCCAGCAGAGTCGCAGGATGCACCACACCCCTGGGTCTGCCATAGTTGAGATAAGAAAGCTTATGAATTCTGCTCTTGGGTGTCCGCTCTCAGTAACTCCCATCCCATTGATTTGGGGCTTGGAGAGTGAATATATGGAGAATAAGTAGTTGGCTTCCATATCTAATTGTTTTTGAGCTTGAAATGAAGGAAAGCAGCAATTACCAAGAAGTTCCAACCTGAGCTCCCTGCATCCAAGCTGTGACCTATAGCATCTCTTACTAATAAGAACATGGGACTTCCCAGAGCTTTCCAGACATATGCAACTCTCATTTTTACTTGAAATACACTGGTTTTCTTCTAGTTCATAACCATGGTTTGTTTAGCAATTGGGTTTTAGGTGAGGGTCATAAGAGACGTAGACTCAAACAATGGGGGTAGTTGTTACAAATAGTTTGGCCAGTGCTCTCTTTTCTTTACTTCATGCTGGCATAAAAATAAAACTAGAGTCCTGAATCCAAGATCCTTCTATGACTCAAGAAAAATATTTTAAACACCATTTTTTATGCTCTGCCTAACTTTCTGAGAAGCCCCAATCATCACAGCTCCTGCTAATCAACAGCTAGCCTTTCTCCAACCATGCTTCCCTGTACTGGGATGCTCACTAAGACAGATGGGAAAAACAAAAACCCTCCAAACAGCTGGTAGTTTTTACCCATGCTCTATCCTTGCTTGGAGGCAATCTTTAAAATATTGATTATGCTATAGATTTGTCTGAAGTCTGTATTCCAGGGCAGCCTGAGTGATGCTGAGATCATTTGTGAAAAATGGAGAGAAGACTACTAGGGTTCCCCAAGTAGTCTCAGGTTAGGATTTCAAGATAGAATGAACCCCTTTTAAACTGGAATCTGGTATCCTTTTCCTTTTTGTTCAGTCTTGTCTCCTAGGCACCCCATCTCCTTTCAAGTGATCTTCTTACCCAGTAGTCACCCAGTGGACAGAGAACAGTTTCTATGGAGCAGGCTTTGTCCTATCTGCAAAACTCACATAAATTAATAAGACACTGTGGCATTCAGCTTGGCATGATTCAGTAACTATGTGGATCACTATGGAAGACAACTGCTTCTGTGTATTAAAAAGTGCAGGAGAAAGGTAGGGACCTGGACAGGAAGCCAAATTATTTCATACAAAATCTAAATATCCTTATAAAATTCACCTTTTCATTCTCCCATTACTCAAAAATATCCCTCCATGTTAATTTTTCCATCCTGTGCTTTTTTTCCACAATTAAATACCATAGTAGTCAAAGCACTGAGTGGTTTAGTGGTAGAAAACATGTAACATAGGTAAAGTGTATTTGTTCACTCATCTTCATTTCCATAGGGTTTTGTTCTTTTCTAAAGCGTCTTGGCAGAAGTGGTGGAGGCCTCCCTGTTGGCACAGGAGGATGCGTCTCAAATGAGACTCTGTCACTGGTTCTTTTCAGAGACAAAAGTTTGTGTAGGGTTGGACTTGTTCAGTGCTCATCAACTGAGTCCCTTCTGCTGCTCAGTAGCTGCTTTTTAATCTCTCTCTCTC